GCGAACTCGCTGCGAAGCAGCAGTGGTTGGCGAGCGCAAATTGCTCGCCGCGTCCTCGCGGCGAACTCGCGGCGTCACCGCCATAGTGTGCATTGCTCCATTGCTTCACATGTACTGCTAAAACGCGCGAGAAAATGACGCGGCGAGCTCGCGAAAATAACTCGCTCGTGTGCATCGAGCCTTAGGTGGCATGCAGTCACGTGGTGTACTGACCGTCCAAGGTTACAGAATCGCCAACTTCGCAAAGTATGCTGTACAACGAAAAAAATAATGTTTCTACATCACAAAAGTTTCGTTTAAGAAGCGGTCTCAGAACTCAGTTGTTACCAGAAAACACAATGAACTGTGCTCCTGGGAATAATATTCGGATGCTGTAGGCCTCATACATAATGAATGGAGTACATACACCATCGTTAAATAAAGCAAGAAGGGGAATCACCCATTACGGCCTTGATCATTTTTTTGTACTTATTTTTTCCTGAAGGAAAAATTATGTGCGTTACTTATACAAAGATGCTTTGAAACTATTTATTTGGAATAAAACTGATATTTACCTTCACCGAGTTTGTAAGAAACTAATCGTTGTTAAAACGTTGGCATAAATGTTAAACCTATGTTCGAAATGCTCTGTCGTTATGAACATGTGACCAAACAAAGGAAAACATTTTCTGATGGTGCATTAATTTCGATTGCTAACAGCGGATTTGTACGAACACAAACATGAAAAATAAGGAACGAGTACACCAGGGGGATATCTTTCAACTGAAGTTTATTTCGTATTTCCCAGATATTTTACTGACATTTCACTCGCTTGTTATCTGAAACATGAAGAGAAAACTCAAACGAAAGGCGCGTTTGAAGAGTCCCTTGTCTTGGGGTTTTCGCGACACGAGTTTAAATTTTGGGAAAATGAGCCACGTCAAATGTTATAAGTTTTGTAACCTTCGGAAAACATTGCTGTTGCCATGTTCACCTGACAAGGAGACACAACAGAAGACTGCGTAACTTTCTTCTTAGAAACGGGAATTTGTGTTTGGTGGTCTGTGAGAAGGGCCCAATTGACTTAAGCCCTTCTTGCCGAGCACCAAAGATATATTCATGAGACTGTGCTACAAACAAACAAGGTCAAGTGCAGTTTGTTACAAGAAATACAAGGCGAACAGCAGGCTCTTTCGCTAGTGTTAAATCGGAAGTTGATACTAGTTTTATGAAAGAAATTGTCAACAGTTCTAAACGAATTTGTGCAAAGTATTTATTTGGGTTACGGATGACCCAAAGTCGAGAGTATTGCTTTAAGAATTCACCTTTTATGTTTAAGAGTAAAAGAACTTCATACGTTGTAGTGACACCGTTACGTAACCGACAAAAAAAAACAACATGCAAGCAGATAGTCTAAGCTACTCATTTTAGTTGATTAGATAATAAACTTATCGATCAACTTTATTTACGAAGGCTGAGTCATCTTGTTTCACAATTCTCAGTAATAAGCTGGCACCGCTGTGTCCCGTCACGTGATGTATTTACCACGTAACTCGCCATGCTGGAATAGACTGCAGTGTCGCCAACCATACAGATTTGCAGCATAATATGAGTAGTACAGGTAAAAGTGCGTGCACATTAACAAGTCCATCCCTGGCAACTGACACAATAAGTATAATTCAGTTTCAGAAATTAACAAAAGAACGGTAACAAATGTTAACTAAATATTACTATTGCGCAGTTGCGGACTGCGATGATTAAGTTGGCTAACATGCTCACCTTCCCTCCCCTGTTTATTGCACAATGTCACGCAATGACATTTGTGTTCTCAGCGTGTGGTCTGCATATACAGTGTGTCCCATAAGTCTAAAACGATAGGAGAAGTGTTATTTTGACAAAATACGGAAAACTGTAGAAGTTGCAATTTACATGCGAAAAACCTCAAGTACTGGATTTTTCTAATTTATAATTTTTTCCCTTTTGGTAGAATGAAATATTTGATAAAGTTTTGCAACGACTGAACATATGTAACATAGGCCTACGTAAAATTTCGTTTCGCGTTCTGTACTCGATGCAACATTCAGACACCTCCACATGTGAGGTAGGGGGGAATAACAGCACTTATTTTCCTTTGGGTAGACAAGGATTTCGGAGTGGCGTGGCTAATCATAAGGGCATCTGGGCATGCCAGAGTTTCGTATTTATCCCACAAATGATATTTATGCATGAACAACTTCTTCCAAGGTGAAATTACGATTCATCAGAAAGAATTCAATAAGGATGATTAGATTTCCAACAGTGTAGGTTTGATAGTGTCTAATGGTATTGAAAGAAGACGAAAATGAATTGTGAATGTTAATAAGAACTTAGAAGGAATTGGTCGTAGCCTTCAAGGTATTACCCTGCATGCAACTGAATAAACCCACGAGCGGTCAGGACAATCCGGCCGAAATTCGAATAGTGTACTGCCTGAATACAAATCTGGAAATTTTGCGCTGCGTTCCTAGCTGCATGATATAAAATCATGAAATAACTGCTCACGAAATTAAGTCAAGCCAATACATTTGGACTGTGAATAACATCTGTAGGCCTAATTCATAAAGAAATGCTGTTTGTTACATAATATTCTGTGAGACACGCAACCAGAACACAGTATGAAGCGATGTTAGAATGACAAAAGAAAAACCTTCTGCTCCGAGATTTATGGCTCTCTTTACGGGACTTTGGCAAAAGCTTTTCATCCTCATATTGGTACCACTGTATTAGGACTTGGTTTCCTGTCTATCAGGGCCGAATACGAATTAACGAGCAAATCAGAATGTGGGAAAATGCAAAGTGAGATTTCAGGTTCTTAGGGCGGCAAGTGTCGTCTTGGTTACTGCACCGTGCAGTCTGCTACAAGCTGCCTCCGTCTTTGGGCGACAAGTCATCGCTCTGATGATATTAACACTACGAAGACGTTACATGAACAAAGACTAATTGTCAGTGACACATAAATGTGTCCTTAAAATGTCCGCTATTCCCTCTGTCTCCCTTGACGAATAACGGAGTACAAATTAATCGGGCTACAACCACTGAGGTCTTGTGGCTTAGCACGACTACACGTGAATTCTGAAACACCACCTGAAAATATAACATAATGGCCATAGTGGATTCTGTTCTGAGACACCTAAATGCAAATTCATATCGTCATAACCTATTTTAAGAAGACAAGATTATATATTGTCCTGTCACTACGTGTTGGTCTCCGAAGTGGCTTTTTTCCTTCATGTATATGCCTCGAAAACTGAAAATTTCCTTCACAAAATACTGCGCAGTTGCCTGATATCTCGCCTGCTGATTTCGCAATAGTACGAAAACAGGGGATTCCCAGGATAGAGGACTGGGATCCCCTCCATCACCCCATGTCACACGTGACTTAATGCACTATATATAGAGAGAGTCGAAAGGCACAAATTATCCGATTCCAAGCGTTCCGAGACGGTGGCTGCAAGGTTCAAAGAAGCTCTCTTGAGGTGGCAATTTTCGTAAAGGTGAGTCTGGCATCACGTATGTTACAGCATGGTCGGCCGTGTAAGAACATATTTGTGTTTTGATATCAAAACTACACGCATGGTGTCTTAATTTTGTCCTCGCTGCCTAATAATATTCATTTCTGCTTCAACGGTTTTAAGCATAATATTAGCGATTTTTGGAACTTTTTATTATTTAACGACGTTTTTGAATTTTGTAGGTTATGTTTCTTTCCGGCGACTTTTGGCAAATTGTCCGACGGAAGTGTCAAAGGCCCCAAATTTGTATTTGACAGTGTAGATTATTTTTCAAGGGACCAAGAATTATAAAACATTCCAGTATACATTTACTTTAAGTGCACAGTTCTTGCGTAAAGGGCGTTACGTTGTGTTGCTGTGGCAAAAGCGTAACTGCTTACCACGACGCCAGCAGGATTATAAAACGACACTTGGTAGCTTAGAATAACGACAGACATAGGATGGTTATCACAGTTATTCATTTATTTAACGACGTTTCCAATTGCCCAAACAATATAACGCCAAGTGATATTCCTGTTAGTAAGGATGCGGAAAGGAGAGGTCGTGGTCTATTTTAAGGTACCGGGGAGGCACTGAGGAACCACCACAAGCCTGTTTCAGCAATTGGTCCGAAGCTGGGATTTGTATCCTTGAAATTCTGATTTGATTGGGGGGGGGGGCGGAACGCAACCCATGCAATCGTTTGATGTCTGCCATGTTTATTTCAGATGGACAAAGCAACGCAAGATAACCGCACAAACCAGTGTAATCCGACCCACGCACCTACCGGGCCAGGTAAGGTTCGTCTGAGCTACATTTGGGGCCATATAAGCCACACCATGACAGTCGATTTCATCTCTAGTTTCTTTACCATAATTCTGTGTGCATTTCTTGCGTTACATTAATCTAGTAGTACACTAATCTATTAAGAACTTTCTTACGACATCATTAGCCTTTTCCCAAGTTAAAACAAATTTCAGAATTCTTGTACCAATGTAGCCATGTTCCTACCAGAAATTATTGCATATACAGAAGTTCAGTTATTTGGCAGAGGGGAGAACGTCCCTCTTTGTGTCCAAAAAGAATGTGTCGCTTCAACGCGGTCGCAATAGGGATCCAATCCAAAACTGACAGCGAATTCAAAGTTCCTATATTACAAGATCACTTTGCTGGACATTGACTGAGGTACATTTTACGTACACGACGTTTCGAGATCTGGCTACACTACCGTCTTCAGCCAACTTACATATTTGTGAGAACAGTCGGGACTGAACCAGGGACCATGAAATCTCGCACAAACTTCCATGTTCCACAAATGTTCTTCATGTATAGGCTTGAAGCATGAGGCAGGAATCATAATGACTGTCTAGAGACTTTAGTTGCTTTCTACTTCCACCCTCATTTCACTTTTGTGCCATTTCCTTTAATTTTATGTCCTAACATTTTCCTATAGGATCACTGGAAAACTTAGGTCAATTTGTCACATGATCCAAGTCTCGGACGTGAATAACAAAGCGTCGAGAGGTTTCTACGCATTGGAATTTTTTGTTTTCAGGACACAGAGCTGGGTACGGGGGTACTGGTACCAAGGCTGACCTTGACAATCACGGCCAACAGCTTAACCCAAATAATCCCAGGTTCCAGAGCAAGAAGTGACGGCACTAGGCGGCAGCAGCAAGCCGGAATGATTCACGCACATCTTTTCTCAAATAGCGTTCTAAAAATGTAACTCTGTACTAAAGTGGGTTAAATGTTGAACCCTCTATCAGATCCGAGAAAGTGTTTCTTCAATTTCATGCTATTTAAATTCTGTGATAAGTTTGAAAAAGAGCCATATTTTTAATTCGTGTACTCAGCACCAAACCAGTTAGAGAAGGGGAAAAAAACTGACTGAATGCTACCAACAGAGGTTCAATGGTTAGTAAAAAGTTTTATAAATTGTGTTGTAAAAATAAATTTGGAATATTTCACCCGTCAGATTTCGGAGAACTTCGAATACCTGGCAAAATGAATTTATATTCATTTCATCCATGAGAATGGCTTGAAAATACAAAATATTACCCCAGTTTTTAAAATAAGTAAAATATATACGTGAGTTGTTGGGTCAATTGCTGCTGTTTATGTAATATTACAAAAATAAAACTGCCCCCGTATGAAACGACCATGTATGTTTTGTAATAGTTTTTCCCGTTTCCATGCTCATGTAATTTACACTTTCCTTATTCCTTGTTATCGGTACAGAGGATGGGTATCTAAGCAGGCGTTTCTGGTTTTCTGCAGTATCTGGGATAATTCCTTTAAAAAGTTTATTTTTTTTAATAATATCCTTCACGATGCACCCGACTCCATGTTTTGTAGTAGAGTTTCTGAAAGAGCTAATGTATAACCTGAAACTTGAAGTACAACTTCCAACTACATTTAGTTGACCGATCTAACGGCATTTAAAACGCACAATTTCGGACTTACCAGCTAGCTTATAGGGATGTTAGTAAACGGCCGATCACTTATTTCTAGGGAACTGCTAGTAACAATCGACGAAAATTAGGCTCTTTTTATTGTAATGTTCAGTTTTTTGTGGTTGCAGCGAAGTTATTTTAATTCGTAGTAAATTTCATTTTTCAATGTGGCCCGCATGTCCAAAATGGTTGAACACCCCTGGATAATGTGTTAAGTTTCACAAGGAAAACATTTATATGTACACAGCCTCTTTATTCTTTATGATACGAAGATAAGCCGCTCTTTGTACCACTGCGCGCTGTGCAAGACAGAATCGCTTACCCTCGCATTTCTTAAAAGCCATGACTTGGTTAAAAGTTTTCCATCAGCAGCAAGAATTAGTTTCATACGAGGTGCTATCGGAAAGTTACAAGACTGCGCCTATAAAAAACCCGTACACTTATCTCAGGTATTAAATTCATCCATCACCCTCGAAGTAGTTCCCCTGGGAGTGAACACAACGATCCCAGCGCCGCTGCCAAGCCTGGAAGCATCACTGGAAATCTTTCTTTGTCAGCCTGCCAAGCACCATCTGCGATTCTGTCTGAATCTCTTCTATCGTCTCAAATCTAATTCCCTTTAGCTGAAATTTCATCTTTGGGAAGAGGAAGAAGTCACACGGAGCTTAGAAAGGAAGTTAGGGTCGGTTCTTGCAAGATCTTTGAGCTCCTGACAAACGAGAAGTC